CTCGATCCCGAGTCTTTATACATTAGACTGACACCTTTAACCGCCTCTGCATTTGGCCGAGATGATGGCTTTGAACCAGAAGATGGTACTCAAGATCCTGATTCCAATAATGACATCGAAATAGATTCGAATGGCAAAGTAATAAACGAATTGGACGACGCTGAATCAGGCTATGGAAATAGTAATTATTTCAAATGTTGTAGCTGTAACTCCTAAATTAAGATAAACGAGGAATTTTTCAACGTTTACCCACTTGTCTCCTGTTGTATGGTAACAAATCCTAGTCTTGAAAAACCTCTTTCTTCAAATAAAACTTATGTTTTAAAAATAAACTTTCCGGGCTTTAATGAATAAAATGCGATATTATATTTTATAAATGAAAAAAATATTAAAACGTTTTTAAAATATCTAAATAAATGTCTTGTTACATTATTAAAGTGCACTGTACCTCTATCAAGTATAACAGCTTTTTATACATTAATACATTTTATATTTATACATTTTAATACTAGAAACGTTGTAAAAGTATTTTGTAGTGATAACGGGCCGTATAATTTGTGTTAATTTGTATATAGTGTTTTGAAGTGATACGGGCCGTATAATTTGCGTATTTGTATACGACAATAACGACAACACTGGAAGGAGTATGAAATAAAAAAGCATAACTATTCATATAAAATATATAATTCTTACATAAAACTAACAGAATGATAAATATTGAAAATACAAGTAAAACATTCGAAAGTGAAAAGAGCACGTTTTTAATAGCAATAATGTGCGATGTGAAAAACAAAAAAATCGATCAACACATCTTAAAAAGATTAAATTTAAAAAATTCAATAAAATTTTCAGAAAATGACTAACATTAAAAAAACCCGAGTAACATTTAGGTACTGATTATGTAACTAGTTTTTTGTTCAGTTTAATTTCTTTGAGACAACAGAAAAAGTTAGAATATTGTGAAATATACAAAATGTTAAAGACGTTCGCAATAAGTTTTAGCATCATTCAGATTTTTAATACCGCAATAATAAAAACTAAAAAATGAAAAAGGAGAAACAAAATTTAAAACAAAAAAATCAATATATAAAAAAAAAATATGCAGTAGCATACAGTATATACTTGTATATAACTTCCTGAACACACATGCAAATTTTAAGTCAAAGAGCAATACAATATTAAAATATAAAATAAAGTCCAATTCTCTTATGACTTTTATAATAATAAAAAAACTTCAATATGAAAGTAATACATTTTTTAAGGAAGCAATAAATTCATATTATTTAGTTGTATAAAATTCTAAATAGTTAATTTTGATATTTATGATACTTTTATAACTTCTAACCTAATAAGGTCTACAGTATATGGGAAAAAAAAAATATATATATATATATATTATTAATACACATTAAGCAGATAAATACAATTGTGTTAAGTTATGTATTAATATTTCACGTAAATCTGTAATATATTTATAAATGCTCATTTGTTTATGTTTCACATTAACAATTATGAATCAATTTAAGTCATACTTTGAGTGCTTTCTAAAATATACCTGAGATCATAATTAAAATATTCTTATTCAACGCTTTTTAAAGATATATTTAGCAGTCCAAATGCAATAAACCAGGTTGGTGACATTTCGGACACGAGGAAAACATTTCCGCAAAACTCATTACTATGACACTTTTGGCATTGCAAGCACAAATATTTTATTTGTACGAGGCATTCGTGCTAAACAGAAATGCACGGAATGCTGTTCAATTTGGTTCCCAATTCTGAAGGTTTAAAACAGTTTGTTCAACAACCGACGGTAATAAATCTTCTGTGATGCTTCTCATATGCAGTAATCTACTATCATGTGACTGTGAGATAAATATAGAATTATCATAAAAATTATTCTATTATGAAATTATTGATTAATGCCTGAAAAATACTTCAAATCCCATAAAAAAAAGCTGGTGGAACCAGGTTAAAAAGTAAAGCTCAGCGAAAACGTCTAAATAAAGGAAACTTCTGAAAGTTATGGTATAAGAATACTACATAGAAACAGATTTGACAGCATNTCATTAACTGTTACGTAAGTTATGGTAAATATTGAAACGATAGATTCACGCATCAGCTGAATTAAACTGTAAGACATTTACGATAAAAAAACATTCTTAATGTGCAAGAATAAGTTCAACCATGCTGTAAATGTTTCTGGTGAACCGCTCAATTTGATAAAATTGAACTAACTATTAAACTATTAGACTATTAAACTATTAGACGAGTAATCGTCTAATAGTTTATGAAATCAATGGGCCTCGGCTAAACTTACGACGGCAAAATTCCCGAAGTGTAGCAATAGCATTACAATTGTTTTCATAAACAACTTTATGAGAACTGCAGTCTCGGCAAAATTATTCGTGTCTGCTACAATGGCCAAATGTTCAAGAATTGTGGACGCTTTTATACCTAGAACTTGGCTGAACAATTGTGTTTACACAAAACAACTTGTTTTTGTTTGTTGTTGTTGTTTGCAGCGCCGAAAGTATCGCAGTAGTAAATTTTGGCACTAATTTCTTTTACGAAAAGTTTCCCATATGTCATGAAATGTCACCATACCGGATTTAGTCGCATCTGGACTGATAAATATTTTTTTATATGGCATTGCGAAACCATCGAACCATAAGGAACAGAGGTGACATATCTCTTCAATGTCTTTGTACTGGCAAATTGCTTTTCCTCTGGCGATATATACGTATTTTTATTATATATCAAACTACAAAAGTTAGGAATAAAAACGACTACTTCGTTCACAATAAATACAGCTTTAGTATTTGTTGTGTAATATCCACTCAAAACCCAACAATGAGAAATTTTTCTTACAGTATCGGATTTATGTATTAAAAGTTTGAATCAACATGTCGTTAGTGCACAAGAATAGTGTTACAACTCAAAAATTTCCAATTTCGAGTTTATTGTAGAAATGTATAGCAAACTCCCTATATTTTTATGTGGAAGAACGAACACTAATATTTATTTCCAAAAAAGATTTGAAAATTTTAAAAATCTAAGATCATGACAAAGAATTGCAGGAAACAAGAAACTTTTAAATGGCTTTTCTGGAAGATCTATTTTTTTGAGTTGTGTCACAATTCTTGTGCACCAACGATGTGTTAAAGCATGAAAATTTGTATCAGTGTCAATAGTATGTCTGCTCTATCTATTTCCCTTAAACGGATGGAAAGTATATCGGATCTAAGCCTTAGAATATTTTCATCTCCTTCTGGCCTTCCAATGTATATACGGATCGACACTAATACAACGTTGAATAGAAGATATAGTACTTTAATTACAACCATTCGGTATATATTATGCTACAGTTTTAAATTTCTAGTTATGGTAGTATAAAAATAATTCAATTTCTTTTTAAATGAATAATTCAGGGATCTACGTATAGTCGAAATTCGCTTAAAACCAATAGACTTGATTTATATAACAATAAATACTTTAAAAAATCTAAACCTAAAGAAAATATGAAACATTTATCATATCTTAGAATACGTTTTTTTTTTTTTAATTTTAAACTCGAAAAAAGAATACAGGCCGATCATAACTTATTTCGCATCTTGAAATCATATATTTTAATGATTTAATTCTAATGAAAAATATCTAAATAATTTTTTAATTTCTTTTTCATAATTCTAGGAGCCGATTATAATAAAGAAGAAATTCCAAGAGGAAAAATAGATGTTAAAATAACAAGAGATTTTAAGGAGATATTTATTCAGTAATTTATCAACACTCAAACTAACTCTATCACTATTTGCAAGAAGCGTAAGATTTCAATAACAGCTGACAAAGTTTTAGGTTATATTCTGCTTTAAATTGTTTTCTGAGAGAAATTTTTATCAATTTTTGTTAAAGTATAACGTGAAATTTAAACATAGAAGTTGATGTTAACTTTTATTAAAATTCTGATTTAGACATTCCTCTTGAACGAATAGCGATATAGCTTGAATGTTCTAAAATACCTTATAAATATTTTCACATCATTTTTTAAACAATGTTTTCTAAAGGCTATATACCTCAAGCACTGTATTTGCACATTGAAAGCTTGTAAGTTCCTGAATACACATAAAAAATATTTTCTGTAGACCAGTCAGTTTAACCGTCCTAATAACATGTCTACACCGTAGCAGATAGTGTGAAATCAATTCCCATTCTTTTGCTGAATAAAACTCTTTAGAATATAATACGTAAGAAATTTTTCAAATACCGAAAAAAGTAAAAGAACAACATTATTATATATAACTAATGCGTATTAGTTCGCGCGTATTGTTGTGCACCCACCCACAATTATGATTCCATTTACTTTAATGACGATATTGTTATCAGTCGTTGAATGTTATCAGATTATCACGTCCTAAAAGATGCGAGTTAGTAATACTATTAATAATTAGAATAAAATATATAACAACATTAATAATAACTATAATTAATTAATATTTATGTAATACTGTATATATGTTAGTTGTTCTAACATATATACAGTATTAGAGTCAATAAAAACCAGAATTTTTCATTAACTGTAATCCTATTTAATTAATTACAATCTTAATGTTATCATTCGGTTATTGTTATCAATACGAGTCCCAAATTAATTAAAATAAATAACTTTTACCATACTTTTAATATAGTTAATAATAATTTTGGTATTTTGAACTTAATGTATGAGTTTTAATGAACATTTTACTTAATTTAGAATAAAATTTTTATTTTGTAATTCTCAATTACAAATTAATATTTTTATAATTTATTCAGTTTTTTTGATTAACATATAAATAAAAAATAAAAAATAATCTTACTTGTTTTAAATACAATTATATTCCTTGCATTGTTTCTTGATTACTAATAAAATTAACAATTACAAATTGTCTTCAAAAATATTTATATTCATACAAAGCCATTACATTTGTTTTTTCTAAAATACAAGGTATTTTAGAAGTTATGCATTTTGAATTATTATCATAAATATTTTCATAAATTTTAAATTCAATTTGATCGTTCTTCGTATAATTATATCGTATTTAATAACCACTTCAGTATTTTAGATTTAATTAAACAAGATTGTATTTTATTCGAAGAAAATTGATTTTAATTAAAGAAAAACAAAATTAATTTCTTCTTCAATTAATTTTAATCTCTGTTCTTATTTTATGAGGTTAATGCTGTAAAAATAATATTCTCATTTTATCATATTAACGTAGGCTTAATAGTCCTGGAACATATTTTAATCATCAAAAAATAAAATATGTTGAAAATTTATGTAACAAGATATGTTTAAATGAGTCTATACATATTCGACTTTCAACAACACAGTTAGATAATATATAGTTGGCATGTGCTTTATATCATGTCATCTTTTGAATTACATAAATTATAACATCCATTACTAGGTCTGTGTTCGTTGGTATTCTTTTCTCTTGTATTGCTGATCCAAGAATCCGTTGTGGCAAGACTGTCTTGATCTCTAATCACTCTTCTTGGATATAGTCTCAAAGTTTCTGTCTGTTGACTATTCAAAGATGGGCGTGCAACTGATCCAATAGAGTTTTGAATTCGCCTTCTTGTTATGAAATGACGCAAAGTATTTCGAACCTAAAATAAAATATTGAAATAAACATAAACTAAATTATTATGAACATCAAAAAACAAAGAGATTGAATATTGATCATTATTGATTTGAAACAATTGACACTTTTTTAATAAGTGCTTACTTTTGCTTCAGTTTCAAATAACTGTAGAGAAAACTCATCAATATGATCTTAATTTTATTTTTTTAAACTATCAATCAATAACAACAAGAGGATAAGAATTTTGCATTAATTAATCAAAGCCTTATTGAATATGAAGGATCCTTTGACATGACATCCATCTCCGATTGCATAACAATGCGAAAGATCTGTTTGACGCCATCCGTCAAAATTTCTTAAATTTAATCAAGAGCCTTATTTTCTCGAATCTAACTTTAAAATATATAACGGATAAATTATAAAATTTCCATTTAATAAGCTGTTCACATATACTAATGAGACACCGACTTAAAGGAGCCTTTAATGAGTCTATAACTACTTTAAAATTAGGGTGAATAAGATATAACCTATAATTGATTTTCGTCTGTCATTTATTTCGACGTAACGCATAGCATTTGTCATATAAATATGTATTTTTTTTTTTACCACAGAGAAATTGCAGCTGTCACTTCCAAATAGATACTAAATTTGAATAGAGACTGATATCGTCTTTTATCATTTTGTATTTTTTCTATAGCATTTAAATCTCGAATCTTAATATAAAAATTAATTTGTTTTCTACAGTGAAAATCCAAAATATATTTGTGCTACTAAATTAACTTTAATATAACTAGAACTATATAATATTGGGATCAATAATGATCCTAATGCGTTAAGTTGCCTTGGGAATACGAGAATAATTGAAATTCCGAATATTAACATATCAGTCTAAATACTCTAATATCGTGTTATATTTTATAATAGTTTTCTTTATAAATTATTAATTTAATTTAATATTTAATCGTATACGTCGAATGATTGATTAATATACAAATTAGGTCATATTTAGTTTATATATAAAACAAAATAATAATGTTAATATATCATTATTTTAATAAACAGTCTTGTCGTGAAGAAAACAATATATTTTGTAAAAAAAAATTCATCTTTATACAATAGAAAATGATAACATGGTGGAATTATAATTCTTAGCACTGTTTAAAAAGTGATATAACCTTGCCAAGATTTTATATGAATCGTAGGTTTATTATTCAACATTAATGTTGCAAATCAAATGCGTCCTTAAAACTAGGCTAATTATCTTTCTTAAGTATTCGTACACACAGATTTCTATGCAATTTTTATTCTGATATTTTTATATTTTGCAACAAAAATTAATCATAAAAATTTGAAAAAATATGATTGATTCTCTTGCTTTTTAATCAATAACTTCTAATTTTTCAAAGAAAATTTTGTCTTTTGATATGTTATCTATTAGATGAAACAAATTATTTTTTAAATAACTCTTTTGAAATTTCAAAATAACTAATTTTAAACTGATTTTTTTTTTTTTTGTAAATCATTACTTGAAATTTTACATAATATATCAATACCTATTTAAAATAATGTATTTTGTCGTATCGAGTGTTGCAAAATAATTTTTTTGTATAGGTTACTACACGAAAGTTTCTTTTATGAAATCATATAACAGTAAAATCTATTGTATTGGTATGAGTCATATAATAAGCTTAAATTTAAAAGGAAAATTCTTCACGGTATATGCCACTGTTTAATTAAAAATACATATATTTATTTTATCAGTTTATAGTAAGTATTTTCTCATTTTTCAATATAATATCACACAATAAAGTAAAATAAATAAGAAATTACATTATTTATTTAATTATTAAGAATAGAAGCTTTAATCGAACTCGTTTATTCTGAAGAAAATTAATATAATTACGAATAACAATTGCAAATAACAAATCAAATAGCGAGCAGACAGTTAAAAATTTTAAAATAAACATTTTTCAATTTTTGATATGATTAATTAATTCACATTTATATTCAATCAACAATCAACTAAATTAGAAATTATTATTTAAATTAAAGAATAATTTATGCTTATATCTTAGATCACTTTATTTTCACAATGTAATAAAATTTTTACCGGGTAAACAAATCAGAAAAATAAAGAAGTTTTAGGACTTTTAATCAAATTTTGAAAGGAACTACGACTTTTGATATTATAAAATCGATCTAAAGTTATAAACGCTATTGATAAAATGTTCAATTTTATCTTGCAGAGAATCGATTTTTCTTTTACTTTTTTCTTCTACAATCAAAATAAAATTCGAACTCCTGTCTATAAAAGCTAAATTTATTATAAACCTAATAAATTTTATATCTTCTTTAAATAAAACAACTTTTTTTAAAAAAAATAAAAAGAGTTGTTTTTAAAAATTTATTATTATAATCTGAATTAAACAATGATTTTTAATTATTTGTTATTATAATTAAAAAAAAATTAAAAAGCTTTTTTTCCTAGTTAATTAAA